CCCTGCTACTCAAAACTGGCCAGCTTTCTCATGGTGCTGCCTGCAGCCTGCCTGCACTTTGGGCAGTGCTGGACTCACTGTCCTGGGCCCCTGGGAGTGGTAGGGATGATGGTGACAGGACAGGATGGTTCAGTACATGAGAGACTCTGGGCACCTCCTCTTCTTGCCACCCCACTCACAACATGGGGACACAGTGGAACCACTGGCCAGTTCAGGCAAAGGCCATGGGGAGAATGGGCCAGGAGAGATTGCACAGAACCAGGGACATGGCATGGCTGAGCCCAGCTGGGCTGGAGCCAAGCCCAGCCCCGTGGCCATCCAGCCCAACCAGGGCTGGTAGGAAGGACAGCAGCAGGCAGCAGAGGAGGGTTGTGCCCCGGCACTGCATAAAATGCCCACAATGGGAACAGAGAGCGGGTGACACTCCAAAAAGAACCCAGAGCAGCACTGGAGCCCTGCTGGAGTCCTGAGAGCAGCACCATGGAGCAGTACTTCTCAGCGACCCAGGAGATGGAGCAGGAGGTGATGTTCCCCAGCCTGCTCCGAGGGGTCTTCCCGCAGCAGGACGGAGCGGCCCCTGACACAGGCAGCCACACAGACCTCTACGAGCGCTACCAGCTCCTCAAGGCCATCAAGCCCATGGTGGAGAAAGGCCTGACCTCTGTCAACGACCAGAGCCCAGCTGACACTGATACCGATACAGCCTTAGATGAGGGTGCAGACAGCAATCTGGAAGAGCGCCTCTCCCACCACGTCAATGGATTGCAGCAAGTTCTGACAGACCTCACCAAAAACACCAAAGCCCTCACCCGTAGGTACAGCCAGATCCTGGAGCAGATCAGCCTCAGTGAAGATCAGTCCAACTCTTGAGCCTGCACTCCCTGCCTCTGAGGTAAGAGCTTGGGGACACATAGTTCCATGAAGAAGCTGACTGAGGGGTAACATACTTTGTCCTCATGACCCATCAGCTGTGTGGCTTTCCAATGTTTGCATCACACCCCCAAACCCCAGATGTTCTGAGTCTGCACTTCATTGCTTAACAGATACATCCCCCTGGATTTGTCTCTCTCTATTGCCTACTGGTGCAAGCTGTGCCACTGAACAAAGGCCACACTGAGATCTCCATGTTGTTCCAAAATTCCACAGTCTGCAACACAGGCAAGGTCTTGCTGCTGCTGGGAAGACATAAAAGATCCCAGGGGCAAAAGGGCTGGGTGGTTGGAAGCCCCTGAACTCTGGAGTCCAGGGGCTGCCAGGCACTGGGGCTCTGTTTCTTTTTTTCTCTGATGTAAAATACAATAGAGGCATTTTAGGGAGGAATTCAGCACTCTCAGGTCTCCAAATATCTAAATTTGGCATGCAGGTCTTGCTGCTGCTGGGAAGACATAAAAGATCCCAGGGGCAAAAGGGCTGGGTGGTTGGAAGCCCCTGAACTCTGGAGTCCAGGGGCTGCCAGGCACTGGGGCTCTGTTTCTTTTTTTCTCTGATGTAAAATACAATAGAGGCATTTTAGGGAGGAATTCAGCACTCTCAGGTCTCCAAATATCTAAATTTGGCATGCGCAG